GTACTCGGCCGTTAATACTCGGTGCTCGGCCGAACCCTAAAAAAAGGCCGAATCCGCCGAGTAGCGAATCCAAACCGAGAATAGAATAGAATAGAATAGAATGATTTTTATTCAATATGGATTATTACATAATACTTATTGAAAGTCATTTTTTTATTTACCACTGGTTCGGAAAATACCTCTGTCCTGGGAAGAACCAGCAAGAAACCCAGCGGGACTTTACTCGAGTATTCGTCCCATGTCTATTAGAAACTACTTCCGAACCTTAAGAAAATATTTTTATAGAACAACACGTCCCCTTTTTATTAAATCCCAAAAATCCACCCGCATCGTAAAGTTGCTGGCTGGTCGTAAAATTATGTCACAACACTGAATGGGCAATAAATGTGACACACGTAAACACTTGAATGGCATAATGTTAAAACAAAGCTATGAGTTGTTTCAGGCTTAATTGAAATACCGTCGGTGTTCATTAGCGTGGCACTATCAAATAACATCACTGCACGTACTTTAAACATACATATGTACCGACGTTAATCAAATTATGCCACACGCCCAAATGAAGATAGATTGTATTACAAACGCTAATCTTCCTTAAATTTGTGGGTTTAACCATAGTTAATAGTAACATTTTATGCATGTGGTAGAGCCATGCTGCAGCTATATTAGTAGTATAGTTATAGCACGAATGGGTCGACCGGGAAAGGACTACACTCTCATAGAATACCAGCGTAAAATGGCAGCTTAACACTGCTGTGTTTCGTATGGTGAGTGTAGAGAACCGGAGACCCATTTTTCACAGCAACCACTTATCATCAGGTGGACTGTGTCACCCTAGTTCTATTTAAAAAAAATCTTAATTAAATTATTAAAAATGAGGCAACCTATCGGGAGTCTAGTTTCAGCGGTAGGCTTTGATAGGCTGTTATAACAATGACGAAGAGGGCAAATATTTTTTTATAGAATAAGGGTAAGGGTAAGCAGGTGATGTGGCTCATAGACATCTACATCAATCCTCGATTAAAATCAAAATGCAGATGCGTTGCCAGCCATGAGAACTAAGATGGAATGCCTCGTTTCCAGTAAAAAGGGCATCCGGTTCTCTACACTCACCATACGAAACACAGCAGCGTTAAGCTGGTATTCTGTGAGAGCGTGGTCCTACCCCGGCCGAGCCGACCCATTCATGCTACAACCATAATACAGCTCCAGCGTTGCCCTACCACTACAACATATTATTCAATATTGTAAAATTTGCTCCTTCGAATTTCTTTGAAATTCTTCTTCTCTTTATCAGCTCGTACAATTTCACTCCTGCGCTTGGACCCACTCGTTATGTTATGTAGGATTAAGCATATTAACGATCGCAATAACAGACGTCTCGAACCTTTAACACTGCTTCCCGTAGTGGGTGCATATATTTTACGTCTGATGTAGGCCAGACGGTTTAGTACCGTCTTCTATCAGGAGTTTTAAAATCTTTTTAGCATATCTCATAGTCGTCACACCAATCACAAGAAGAGATGAGGTGATGAATTCTCTTACGCTAACTAAAATTATTAACTTTAATCTAATGATCTAAAATACCGAGATGGTTTAGTGACGGTGGTGTAAAAATATCCACTACCCGTCATCCCGTGGGTGTCATAAGAGGCAACAGAAGGAAACAAATTAGGAGATGTTCAGCAGCGTCTTCCTAATAACGACTAAAAAAGAAAAACTGTGGTGGCCATCCCGCTTGCCAAGCGTGGCAACTATGGCAAATATCCTCCTAAGAAGCAATCTAAGAGAGAGGCCTATGTTCAGCAGTGCACTTTAATAAGCTGTAACGGTGTCGGATCTAAAATAGTTTTTTATCCGAAGTTGTCGAACTTCAAAGGACGTATAATAAAACATGAATATTTCAATGTGTTTCGGTAACATTATTAGTCCTTTGGGGTTGGATATTTTCCTCTAGCGGTATAACGCACGAAATTTTATGTGCCTACAAAAACTTTTGATATGTATTATGTATTACTGTTGTGATTCACATCAATTTTATGATTATTAGGCAAGTTCTCTTTGTGGGTACGACAAATCCGCTGTTCTTTATTACTAATTTTATAATATATTTATTAAAACTTGACTAGGTACTTATAATAAAAATATTTTACACCATAAAACAATTAAATTTCCTTGCTCTCTCTCAGAAGTGAGAGGGAGCCTGTGCCCAGGAGTGTGAAGTATATTGGCTGTAATTTTACGTTTTTTACTTTAACACCATAAAAATGGCTAATAATAATTTGAACGTCCCTTTTACCTTAAATTTATTGTTAATTATTAAGTTGATGTTAAGTTTATATTTAACAGAAAACTAAAACTAAAATTAACTAATAGTCCTACTCTCCACGATCCAAGAACCCTCGTTGCGTTTCTTCGCCGAATGTCTATACTTAGCCTTTGGGCGAAAAAAGAACCAGGCCTCTTGTCTCTGTGTATATTATCGAAATTTTAGGAGCACTTAGTAGTAATATTTCGAGTTAATAACGTCACTTATTTCATATTATTATCTATCTAGTATTGACGAAGTTGTCAACACACGCATAACTAATTCATCTTCACCATCATCGACATCAATACAGCTTATCAGAAGTATATTGCTGATCATAGGGCTCCTAAAAAGAACGGTCATGAGCCACCGCATCCATCGACACCCCGCATCTCTTACCAGTTTGTCACTCCATCTAGTGGAGGGCCGCTCTTCACTTCACTTACTGGTACGAAACTCCCACTCGAGAACCTTTCTTTCTCATCGGTTGTCAAATCTTCGAGCTATATAGCCACTTCAGCTTACTAATCCTTTGGGCTATGTCAATTAATCTGTTTTTGCTGCTGATATTCTCATTATGTAGTCTACCACGCAGTGAAACTCTGAATTTAGCCCTTTCCATAGTTCACTGAGCGACCTTAAACCCTTCCTCATACGCTTAGCAGTGAAGAACCACGTCTCGAAATATTTAATCATAAGTGTAAAGTCCGAACTAGAAGCATATTTGACACCGTTCGATTATAAATAATAATCGATCAAAAGGCCAGATCGAATAATTTTCTACCGACTTCAAAAAAAGGAGTAGTAGTAGGGTACTCAATTCGACTATTTTTTTGTGTGTTACCTCATAACTTTTTTCTGGGTGAACCGATTTCGATGATTCTTTTTTTTTTGTTTGAAAGCTGGTGCTTCTCATGTGGTCCCATTTAAATTTGATCAAGGTTTGACCAATAGTTTTTGAGTTATTATTAATATTTATATTGAAGTCGGTTGTACAAAATTTTTTATTTAAAATTATTACAATGTATCAAACACTATGGAAAAGTATTAAGCTATTAAGTTTCTAAGTGATTGGATTGCTTTAATATGCATATGTGAAAATTGACTGATGTAGCGAGTCAATCAGACTCCATTATCGATGTGTTGATCGCATGGACAGTGTAGCGAGGGAAATTATTGATTTGCGCCTAATTTCCGGTTGATCGCTGGCGACGGTGGACTGCGGGTGGCGGGCGTGGACGCGGTCAGCTCTCCACGTACAAGTTCGATCACTCTACAGGCAATCCAAAACGCATTCCTACCGTTTATTGACTGGAATATACCCGGTGCCAACTGCTTATATAGCTTAATTTTATTAGCTAATTATTTGTTCTTGATAATTATTTCCTTGTTTTAGTTATTACAAAACTAGTTTACTAACTTGTAAACTCACACTGATGGTAGATTTGCTCAAATTATAATATTTCATGATTTTAATTTAAAATCTATGAATATCTATGTATGTATCTACAGTATACACTCAATTATTTTTGAAGTACATTTAACATAACTGTAAAGTAAAATATGCAAAGAAAATAAAATTGATAAAATTTCATCTAACCTAAACTTGAATGTGATACTAAAAATCTATTCAAATATTAAATAAGAATCCGAATACTTATTCAATAAAATAAATCAGCAATGCAGAACTGGCCCTACAGTGGAACCCCAACCAGTTTCGCAAAAGGTTAACAATATATGTGAAAGGTCGGATGTTTTATTCCGGGTATGTAAAAGGGGCCCGTACAAAGTATAGGGGCGGCTACAATGGATTGGTGCAGATATTGCTGTCGAGCGAACTAAATGAAATTCCTTGAAATGTGTTAAAATTTATATATTGAAAAATAAACTTTCATACAAACCTACAGTTAAATTATTTCTAGAGGTTTACATTTGAACTTAAACATTATAACTGAGTAATACAACTTAAAAACCTTTGAGATTAATTACTCCAGTCCATTCCACAGCCATAACACGGTAATTTTTTTTTATATTACTTTAGATATTTAAATTTTCTGACGGAAGAAACTTAATATAGTTTTAATTATATCGTAAATAAATAACTGCATCGAAAATGTTTACAAAACTAAATCATTAAAATAACATAATCGTTCGAAGAATCGAAAATCAATTTCTCTCACAATCCAATTACAAAAATTATTAAGTAGCGATTACGAAACTAAACTTCATATCATTACATTTTATCGTAAATTCCATTGAATCACTTGTGTAAAGTATTTCCACATAGATTTTTCAATAACATACGTGATTGTATTTAAATTATTATCAGTGCCAGTAACAAAGTGCATACAACGGCCACTCGACGCGTTATCAGCAAATATATCTCCTGATTACGAACTCGCAAGCCAATCTGCCCCTTAAATACTTCATTTCGAGGCCGCCTGGGTGCGATATCATCTACGTTCAGCGGGGAAAAAACATACTTTAAAAACAATGAAGGGCATTCACTTTTATCAGCGCATCGCCGCCGGAGGGTGAACAGTGAAGTGAAAAGAAAGTTGTGAATAGAGGTCCTCGCGGCAACAGCGACAAGCTGCCGGTGCATTAAATGAGTTTTAACCACCTCGCGGCGACGAACGCTGAAAAGCGTCGTTATATTATCTTATGATGTTTGTTTGCCTTCGCTCATTACCTCCTGGTCCTGGCGCAGTTTCATTGGCGGCGACACGTCTCGTGGCATATTCACTTGAGTACCGGCACTTGAATCACTCACTGCACTCGCATTCACCGTCTCTGCATAGTTGCCAGAGCTCCTTGCCTCAATAACGTCCCAGGGCACGCTGTCATCGTACACAGCGACGTTCATCAAACTGTCTCCAGAGTGAAATCTCCAAGGCAGATCGGAACCGCTATGCCTAGGCCTTCGACGCTTATGTCTGACTTTGTGTCTCGCGAATCTACCTACTTCGTGTTCCGACTCTTTCATCATAGCGTCGAATAACGAGTTTACGTTGACTTTTAGTTTGCGATGATTTGGAGCAATGGAGTCCGGATTTTGGGAGGTGATAGGGTCCCGACTCAGTCCCTCAGCATCCCACAGTTGAACTCTGAGTATGTTATCGTGTGATGGCATGTGAGCGCGTGCGGCGAGCGCGAGTGCGGCGAGAGCCAAAGCGAGCACGCGCGCGGAGCCGTCCATTTCCGTCGGCGGACGCGAGCCTACTGAACCACTACTAGCGGTATGATACCTCTCGAGGCGCTTTTCCCGCGCTTTTCCCGATAACGCTACGAGCTAGAGCTACGGCACGCATTCGACATCAACGGCGCTCGACGCCCGCACGTAGATAAACATCGCCCAGTTTCACGTACCCCTTATCTCGGTAATTTTACTCATCACATCGGTATAGTCGCGTTGCGTACGTTTACATCACGTAGCTGGAATTGAATGGCACGTGTTTAATAATAAAACAATTGATTCAACTTAATAAACTTTATTTTTCGTAACACAACTATTGTGACACTTCTAAAATTAATGATTTATATTAATTTACAACATAACCGTAACCTCAAATGCATTATAATATAATATTCAATAACAGTACAATTAAAATAATATAACAAAAATATCAAGTCAGAATAGATACAAACCACATATTTAGCAATGAACTACCACAATTAGATAACCATGTTTATTTAATACCGCCCCACTTTAAATCACTGTTCCATAGTGCCGGTACTAAATCATGAATATTGTTACCATATCATAAAAGTATATATTTTTGATTATAGTGGCAAGTACGAAACACCAAATATTGTTTATACACACATAAACATTTAGATAAATTATCTGCTCTATCTACATGTTTGATGTCTAATTTAATTTACTACTGTACAGCTACAAATTTCAGAATTAACTGGTTAAGTACTGATATTATATCGTTCGATTTAAATTTTACGCAATTATTATTAATGGACACAGATAACAAAAACCATCAAATCCACAAGATAATTTCAGTAAAATTTAGTTATACCATGTATGGTAGGTGTATCTAATACATACTCTGTGATTACAATAATATCAACTAATGTTAAAAAATTAAACTTTCAATAATAAAAAGTCAATGCTATGATTATATTTTGTGTTTTTATAACTTATCGTCTGATATGGATCTCATTTGTTATCCGAGATAAATATTTTATTATTATTATTATTAATGTGGGGTATCTATATAAATCTATATAATTTTCTCATCTGGTTGGGCTGTATAAATATATAAAAGTAAATGAAAATGATAAATATACATAAATATCATAACACAAATACATAAATAAATAAAAACCCAACCAGATGGAAGCCCTCGGCAGAGGAGACCTAACGGCCGAGAGTTAGGAAGAAAGGAAAAGAAACCCACGGACGATGCGGGCGGAATCGAGGAGCACCGCCTGCTGCATCTGAGTCCGGAGCGGTTCGTCACTAAGTCCCAGTCGCTTCAGATGACAAGGTGTTCATGATTATTATTATTATTATGACAACGTTTTTATAAGAATTCAAGCCTAGACTTCAAAAGTTCTGTGGCAATTATTTTATTATTTTTAGTTCCTCGAAGTTGGCTTTAAATTTTTATTAAAAGTTTAATTTTGTAAATTGGTAATTGATCCGAAATCAAATAGGTACTAAAACTAACTTATGAACTGGATTATTTTTGTGGTTAAACTACGTCCAATTGTAAAACAGATACCAAGCGATACTTACTACACTTAAAAAAAAGCTAACAATTATATTAACACAACTAGGATTCACGTAAATTATTCTAAGCTTAAACATTCAACAAGGCTAAGAGACGGTCCACAACAACTGTAGCAATATCCAATAAATACGAGTATATACACGCTACGTTACATTTCGCTAGATCATTTGCACTTCTAAAATAAAACGCACTTGGAAGTTAATCGGTGGTATTTATAAAAGGCATATATTTAAAAAAATATTTGAAATAATTACTAATACTAATAAATAATAAAAAAATAAAAATTTGCATTTTCTTTTTCTTTTAAGTAAAAATTGCGAAAACTTGCCTATGCGTGCCATTTAAGGTCAAGGCCATCTAAGGTCGGCACTCTACCGAAACTAAAATAATATAATCCAATCTTACTTTGTGTACGGATCTAAGCAAATTGACTTTGTCTGAAATTCATAATGACTTCTGTCAAGGACGTTGAAATAAATAAACGGCTCATAAATTATAATAATTTTAAAAGGCCGAATATAAGATCATAAAAACTGTGCAAGTTAAAAGAAAAAAAGTAATCATCATCTAGGTACTGTATTTTCTCAAACCGACAAAGAAACATTAAATGATGCCGAAACCATATTCTTTTTTACTTTACTAGCCCGTAAAAGTTCACTACTGGACATAGATATGCACCTAAAACCATGTTATTGGTTGCAAATGATTTTAGATGCATATGTGTACGTGTTCAACTAGAAGTTGAACATGGGTCGGCAGTTCGGCTTGGTTTTTGCATCAATTGAAATGTACGCAGAGCAGCTTTTTCTTTATTGATCTCATTATATTTTAAAGTCGCGTTTTAATTTTTTAATTAAACACAAAAAATCTAATTTTGTCAATGTTCCATTATCTGTCGTTCCTTTGTTTTAGAAATTATAAAATATACACAAAGTATAGCTACCCATTTTGAGTGTCGACTCAATCGACAAACATCGATTTTTAAATATAAAAACATTACAAATTAGTAGCATAGCACCAAAATACTGTCATTTATTGTCGTCTTTAGTTAGCTTTCTTTGAGCCTTTACTTAGAATTTTTTTCTAAAACAAGTAGTAAGTTTATTTTAAACATGAGCATTTCAGACCCACAAAGATAGACAAAAAACGCAGTTACATGGTTGCACGTAATATTAGGTGCATGTGTGTGTGTGTGTGTGTGTGTGTGTACTCACAATACGTTGAGCATGGTTTTGACGTCACTAGAAAGTTACGTAATGTTCTGTCTATCTTTCTATGTTGGTCTGACGTATGTATAAATTACATTTTTATTCCAAGTCTGTCATAACATTCTCAAATTTTAGAGTTCCGCGATCATACAAAATAGGGAGTAAAATCCTTTTATATAGGTCTTAATAATAAGATACGAAAAATATTAAGTACTACATATTTCTTAATCACTACAATCATGTAAACTGGCTATGCAAAAATGTTTTCGACATTATTCATCGGTTTGGATATTATTAGATAAGAGTTCTAAAATAATCGTAAGCCAATCAAGCTTGGGTTTTCCCGACTACAGGTGCAGCCTAAAGTGGGGTTAAGGTTTTAACAAGCTATGCCTATATATTGTGTATACATGTATGTATGTATGTATGCATGTATGTATGTATTTTAATTTGTTTCCTCAGATTTGTATCATTGGAAGAAATGAAACGACATTCCCTCCACGGGTTATAGGTCATATTATGACGTCATATAAATTCTAACGACGGCTTAATTCGAAAATAAAGTGCTACAAGAATTAGGATTACATTATGAAAATATATAAATTATGTAGATTACTTATAAGCATGTATACAGAAACCACAATTATTTAATTTAAAGTTCAATGATTACTACCACAGAAGTAGGTAGGAGGGACTAGGTAGGTACATCCCCTAAGACCTCTAACCCCAAAATTAATTTAAATAAAAAGAAATATAAATCAGAAATCTACCACCGTAGACGTGTTTATACGTTTTTAGTGGGCGATTTTTGTCGTAGTTGGATATTAGTATCAACTTTCCTTTTATTTATATAAGTGCTAAGCTTCAAAGTAGCCATCTGCCTGTGAAAAATATTTGATAATAATTATAATGAGCTACGGTTACGCTACAATGCGTTAGAAAATACTAGAATAATCGGCAGAGTGAACGTGCTAGGCCGTCATTTTTTATTTTACCGATCATCGCTGTATATTATGCGTGTAAATTCAATTATAATTCATCTTTACTTATCACCTATTCACAATAGAGATTATTAGCTATAAATTCCAGGAATGTAAAACAATTGAAATATCAAATACGTATTGATAGCAAGAGAATAGAATGATGTATTTACTATTATGAAATAAATAAAAATTATGTAGAAAAACTCAATTGATCGCATTTTAATTAATGCTCAATGGATTAAATATTATAAATCTTGTTCCCATGTTCAAGTATATACCAGCAATATAAAAAAGGAAACAATCAAAGTGTAAGAAAGAGATAAATAAATAAAATTTTATCAATTTTCAGCTTTCAAAATGATTTTAAACATAACATAACATAAACACTCACGACTGTCACCTAGAGGGGTAGGCAGAGACTATGGACTTCCATTTGACACGACCCTGACACACCTCTCGCTTCCTCCACATCCGTATACCTAAGCATACATGCTCGTCAGTTAAAGGTGGCTACTGACCTGCCTGCCGCAGGGGCAATCTAGGATGTAGGAGTGGGGATGACCCTTAATTGCCTCCTTAATTGTGATGTGTGTAGGCAAGCAGGGGCAATTTTTTAAGTCGGCCCTGCGGCCTTCGATATTGCTCCGATCGCTGTGCTCCCTAGATTGGCCCTACGGCAGGCAGGTCAGTAGCCGCCTTTAGGGCACTCTTAATTTGGTCCATTTTCAATATATCGCCAATTGGGTCGATAAACTTTCGCCTAAGGCGTCCCTTCCCGACTCTGCCTTTCACCTTTGCAACATATTTCTTTTATTTATTTATTTGCTTTGTCACTCTTTCCTCATTCATTCTTTCTACATGAACAAACCACCGAAGAATTCCTTTCTTAACCCTGGTCGCAACATCATCTTGCAAACCACACTCTTCTTTTATCACACAATTTCTCGCCCTGTCAGATTCAGATTGGATTTTCTGTTTGTATATTTATTACATGAATTTTGCTTAAAAATAATTGCCTGTATATCTGTATTAATTGTAATCCGGAAAAAAATTACTTTTTATTCAAATATGTCAAACGATACCAAACATATGTTTTGTAGTATTCACCACTCGATCTATAGCAACTAAAACTGAACACCTAAGCGCTTAAAAGTATAAGTCATATGGACAATAATAAAGGGCTACTTAACTAAGCTTAATCTGAAATCAACCTAATCATTCTCTGTACCATTTTCTTGTCTGTACGCTTAATTATACAAG